AAAAAAAAAAAAAAAAAGGAAGAAGGGGCCAGGGAGATAACTAACTAGAATAAGCGCTTAGGGCCTGAGTTCAATCCCTGGTTCCACCAAAAAAAAAAGTATTCTTCCATAAGAGTCAGGCACAGTGGTGCACTCCTATACTCCCACCTGCTTGGGAGGCCAAGGCAGGAGGATCATGAGTTTCAGGCCACTCTGGGTAGCGTAGAGAAACCTTGTCTCAGGGGAAAAAAGAGGGTGGAGAACATTTTCACACAAATCTGTAGGGCTTCATCTTTCTCAAGTTTGTTTTTTAGTTGCTGTTGTTGAGAATGAAATTGCTCAGTTTCAGTCTCCTCCCAAAGCTGGGCCTGCGTGGACTTTCCTTTCTGTGTTCTCCTCTTTCCTAGTGCTGGCCATGGTTAGGCCAGAGCCCGTGTGTCTCTGGAGTGCGCCTCAAGATGCCACCAGCCTCGCAGAGCAGAGCAGTAGAGCGGGTCCTCCCACGGCTGGAAGGGACACCTGGGGACCAGGCCCGGGAGGGCCCCTCTGGTGCAGACTGGTGCTGCAGAACATCCACTGTGATGTCCTTGGAAGCCTTTCCATTGCAGCTAACGCAAGGGATGAGTTCTCAGAAGAGAGATCAGTGGGGTTGTTGCCAGAAAGGTCACAACCAGAATGGCACAATCACCTCACACGAGAAACACTTCAGGTGTGGTGTTGAACACCTATGATCCTAGCACTTGGGAGGCTGAGGCAGGAGGATCTCAAGATTGAGGCCAGCCTGGGCAACTTTGTGACTTAGCAACGCCCTGTCTCAAAACAAAAAATGTAAAAAGAGCCAGGATATTCATAGCTCAATGTGAAGGCGTTGGGTTCAATCCCCAGCACAAAAAATATCTACCCCCTCAATACCACAGGCTCATGGCCATTGACAATATTAGAAAAACTCACTGAATTTCTGAAACCTTGTTTCTCTGAATGACAGATGAGTGATCAGACAGCTGGCTAACCTTCCTCCCTGCGCTGGTGGTTGAATCCAAGGCCTTGTGTGTGCCAGACAAGGGAGCCAAGCTGTAACCCAGCTGAATCCCCCAGGGACTTCTTTGTCATACAAAATCAGACAATCGTAGTATCTGAAGTGGGTATAATAAGACATCAGCTTTATCTGGGTATGGTGGCTCATCCCAGCCCTTGGGAAGCTGAGATAGGAGGATAGCCACAGGTTCCAGGCCAGCCCCGCCTGTGGAGGAGGACCCTGTCTCAAACAAACAAAAAGGAGTTTTGCTGTGCTGGGGATTGAACTTGAGACCTTGTTGCCAGGCTGGTGCCGACTGTTCATCAGAATTGCTCTGTGGACTTTGTCGAGTACTGGATGTGGAACTGCTGAGCAGAGTCACCAGGGCAGTGCCCTGCCAGCTACCGTGGTCACGTGTGGAGTTGTGGTCACCTCGCTCACCAAGGAGCAGCACCAGCAGGCTCTTGCCAACAGGAGCGGCTCCTCCTCTGCCCTGCGGGGCCTGCTTTGCAGACGCAGCTGCTGCTAGTGCTCCTGGGCTTCACGCAGCCGGCAGACTTGTTCTGGACACTTAACTCTCAGTATACTTATGTAACTCTTCTTCATTTATTACAGCGTGGAAATAGCCTTCCTACTCCCTCCTTGCCACCCTTCTTTCCCCTCTACTCCTAGTTCTGTTTTGTTTTTTACTACTGGGAACTGAGCCCGAGGAGTGCTGGACCTGTTGCCAGCAAAACTTCCCGACCCTCCTTTCTCTATTTGGTGACAGGGCTCATGAGCTTCTCCACCTGGCCTTGAACTTGGGATCTGTCTGTCCCCGCCTCCCAACTAGTTGGAATTGCAGGTGTGTGCCGCCACGGTGGTGAGGCAGTTTTTGATGTTAATATTGATTTTTATATTGCCTGTGAAATCCTAGATATCTAAGTCTATAGTCCTTTCTCTCCCCTCATTGTAGGTTTTTCTGTGCCCTCAGCTTTTCTTTTTCTGTCCCCTGACTTGTCACTGTCCTATTCCACATGTTGTGGACGGTCTGTTCTGTAGCCATAAAGTCTTACACTTTGCCTGTAAGTCGATTTGAGGTTGAAACCCAGCAAAGCTCACATTATCGTGGCCTGTTAATATTTGGCACGTGCTTCGGTGGAGTGGGAGGGTTTTGCTTCCTTTTCTGTCTGCCTCGTGTATTGTTACCATGCCACTCCGAAGAGGAGTGCTTACAGCAACCAGACGGAATAGATTCTCTTCTTGTACGTTGCAGCAGTTCTTCCAAATCGTGCTGCTTTGTAGTTGTTTTATATTTGAAACATTGTTTTATCAGCTTTTTAAATAGAGTTTCTAGTTATCTCTGATTTTTAATTGTGGTTTAAAACATAACATACCTTTACTCTCTTCTCTTGACATCATCCAGCCACTTAGTTTCATCTTCCCTCCCTTCCTCCCTCCTTCCCTCACTCTCCTCCTCGTCCCTTTCTTCCTTCCTTGTACTGCCCTCATATGCAGAAAGCTCTTTCCTGCTTCTCTCATCTGTAAGTACGCTGTGTAACTCATGACTTTCCTGGGTTAGATCTACTGTGTCCTGGGGCCAGTGATAGAGCTCAGCACACAGTGCCTGCCTGGCAAGCATAAGGTCCAGAGTCAAGATTCCTGGGGGATGGGGGTGGGGGTCCATGTTCTAGTCTTGTTGTAATTAGCTGAAGCGCATTATTAAGTAATTCCTTCACAAGAACAAGTAGGAGGTAAACTTTTTAAATCCTTCATTTTGTTGTCACTTTTGATTGATGGCTTAATTGAATATAGAATTTATTTTTCTTCAAAACATTAAAGGCATTGACCTATTGACTTCAGGCATCCATTGTTTCTAATAAGATAACTCACATCAGTTTGAGTCTCATTTATCTATGGGTAACTTGAGTTTGTTTTTTTTGTGTGTTTTGACTTTGTTTCCTTTGGAAACAGCATGTTGTTTTGAT